ACTTAAAAACACAAATTAACTTGATTTCTAACTATTCTAACATTTCAAAATAAATGGGGGATTGATTTTGACGAAATTGAATTTAAAACAGAGACTTGTAAACAAACTTTAAACAAAACAGATTGTGATGAAATAGAATGATGAGAACTAGTTAGAGGGTTCCTTATCCACACATGAACATATGCATATAATTTGATTCCCAGTTATGACTTCAACAAACGATGAATGACAATGCTCCAAGTTAATTAGGTCCGCTTAAATTAACTTTCAGATTTCCCTAGATTCATTGGATTGAATGAGATACGCATTACAACCAAATTATTCCTCATCAAAGTCCCTAACTATGGAATACGCATGGTAGAGACATTGAACAAAGATCATTAAGTTCAACGGAAATCATAAACATCGACTAGGCATTCATAACTATGGAATACGCATGTTAATCCAGCCTAGGGTTTACTTAAACACAATCGTGACTAGCGATCTTTACTACTCATGAATATAAGTTCATAACGATTAGGTGAAATTCCCTTATATCCTAGCATCAAGTTTAGGCATGCAAATTAAGTGTCGACCCTCAACCCACATACATAAACAAGTTCTTAATCAAAACAGAAAAGTAAACCACATCTAAAGTTCATGAATTCATAACTGGAGTAAATCAAATCATAACCAACATATGTCCATGGCTTCAAATTTGCCTCTAACTAAAAAGAAATTAGTTCCACATGTTTAACATAATTGAACAGCAAGTTAAATTAAACATGAAAACAGAACCAAGAGAAGAAAGAACTCCAAACACTCCAATAGTTGCAGATTGCATGTGCAAGGTTTCTTCCTTCCTTTGGACTGCACGGCACTACTTCTCCTCTCCTTCAATGGTGGCGGCACAAGGTGGTTATGGTGGTTGAATGGTTGCTTGGGTGGAAGGTTACGGCAAAGGTGGTAAGAGTGGCTGGAATTGTGTTTCTAGGATTTTAGGATGTGTGGAGTGGTGTGGCTGGATGAATGGACGAAAATTGGGTGAATGAGTGATCCCCCCTAGTGCCTTGCTGCAAAGCCTTATTTATAGGGCTAGGAAAGGTTTAGAACTTAGTTGAAACCAAAAGGTTTTGTACCAGAAATTAGGAAAAAATTAGGCACCATGTGTGAATAGATAAAGCCTTCTAGAAATAAGGTTTTGTACCAGAAATTAGGCACCATGTGTGAATAGATAAAGCCTTCTAGAAGGAATGCTTATATGGCTGATTTCTAGAAGAACAAGGTCTAAAAACATGTGGCACTAATGTAGCCTTCTAGAAATCAGGTTTTTAGGCCCCCTTGCAGCTCCCTAACTGAATTCAAGCCTTTCAAATTCGTCCATCCTCATGCCTCCATGCTTGCCCTATCCAATCTTGGCCCAAAAATGCTCTAGAATGCTCCAAATTGCTTCTTTTTGCATACTTTGACACTAAAACCTGAAATTGCACGAAAATAACTTTAAACACTATAATTAACATAGTTTAGCTAATTAAATGCAAGAAAACAAGCTAACTAAGTCGTATAAATATGCTCCTATCACTTGTATCCATGTGAAATCAAAAGTATATCAACAGTAATTCCATAAATATACCACAACACAACATCTCATCAACAATATAAATAATCATGTACTTAATAATTTATATTAGCACGTAAGTTGGAGTCACCTAATGTGACATGTACGACTGCACTCATAACTCATCAATCAATGCTAGCACATAAGTTGGAGTCACCTATAGTGACCTGTACGACTTACCCATATCTCATCAATCAATGTTAGCACGTAAGTCGGAGTCACCTATAGTGACCTGTACGATTTACCCATATCTCATCAATCAATTCCTGCACACGAGTCTGAACCACCTATAGTGACCTGTATGACTTACCCATATCTCATTAATCAATTCCTGCACACGAGTCAGAACCACCTAAAGTGGTCTGTACGACATGCAAGATGTAAATAAATAAGTTCAAGTGCTACAATTACGTGAAGGTTGTACGAAGTATTGCAAGTCACCTACGAGTCGGAGCCACCTAATGTGGTATGTACGACAGGCTAGCACCTACTTTGGATCCAATGTGAGCATGTAGTGTGGGAGGTGAACGATCACATGAAGGATAGGCCCTGTCCTCGGGCAGAGCACTAACATCAATGTGCAGGATAATGAGCACTAAATGAATATAAACATAACCATACACACTACAATCACTATCATCAATATGTACTCACTTGAAGTTTACCTGGCGTCTGCAGCGTTATTTGGCATAACCACTTTAACGTCCCAACATTCTTAATCGGAACTATACCCAGTGATAGGCCAGAATAAAATCAAGGTTAATCTCTACGCTGTTAACCTTCATAACTTCTTTCTTTAAAGAAATCAAGTACCATGTTAAATTCAAATTGTTTTATGGCTGCATCTAACTGTCTTGTTAGACTGCCTACGTACTCTCAAACGGGATCAAGCCATTCGTAGTTCAACTTAGTACTTCAAAGCATTCACTGTAATTATGTGTAGATAATATGCATATAGATATGCTATAAGTAATCTAAAATTTAGCCATAACATAGAATTTTAGAATATATAAATATATATGACAGGGCATAAAATGCATAAATCAATTTAAAAATATTTGTGGAATTATCAATCATATAGATATATATATATATATATATATATATATATACGAAAAAAGAAAAGACCCACTTACCTGAGGTTCGCGCTACGACTCCCTAGCACGAACATCGAGATGTCACAAACGATCCTCACCTGCCACAAAGTCCAAAAGTGGACGGAAGGTGGTCAATTCTGTTCACAAAGCCGGCTGGTGCCTAAAGCTTCCCGGCGTTGATTCATCGTCTACGGTGGTCCAACAGGGCCAAGGTTGGTTGAGATTTTCTCTTGAGATGATGGGCTACAAAGCTCAAGTAGTGGCATCGGCCATCGCTATGCCGATTTGCTGGAATATTGAAAAGAGTGGCCGAAGCACCGTTGATTTTTGTCGACTTTTGTGGCCTCAAACTGTCACATACCCTGGTTAATCAAGGTGGTTCTTGGGTGGATTTTGTAGAAGGGAGTGAGAGCTTCAAGATGGCGATGGTGGTGGCGTCGAAAAACTCCACCGGAGTTGGCCGGAATCAAACTTGAAAAATGAGAGGTTGAACTGGGTTGTGTGGTGTGCACGGGTTGATGAAATGGGGAGGGATGCTTCTCTCATCTTCCCATTAGTCATTTTTCTTTTCCCCTTGTCTGATTGGTCCTTAAGGTATCGTTTGGTATGTAGATGGGATGAGACATGACAGGACGGAACGGAGAGGGAGTAAAAATGCCCTCAGATGGAAACAAGGAGGAGGAAGAAGGAGGCGAAGAAGTTATAATTGTGTGTTCCATGGATGTGGAATGAGTTGTTACAGGGGGTGAGGCGAACGAAAATTCACCCAAAATTTGTCCCTTGGAATACCGCGTTCCACCCGTTTTAGGCTCACCAAATGTGGGACGGAATGCCTCGTCCCACTTCATTCCGTCCTGTCCCATGTACCAAACGGTACCTAAAAGAAATAATATGATTGTTTCCTTATTTCGTTGCTGAAAGCTGATTGGGCTTCTTTCCCACAAGATGGGAATTCAATTTAATTAAAACTAAACTTTGAATAACTAATTTCAAACGTCTGTAACTATACAGTCATAATCCGGACTCGCAAAAGGTTTTCGTCTATACGTTCGTATCAACGAGTACTACGATGATATGCTAAAAGAATAAGTCATATGTCTCTCTAGGCGATAGCCAACGGAAGTCAAAATCCTTACCTCTAGGGCATTTTCGTAAATTCACACTTTTAAAATTAATAAAACGTAAAATTTGGGATGAGTTGTTACATTAAAGGTTGGAATAAGACGAAAGTTGTTAAAAAAACTCGTAATAAAATAAAGTTAATTAAAATTAAATCAGATTAGGGATTTTTTACTAAATACTAGCAAAGAGCACACACTTTGTGTGTGTGTGAAAAACCGTCCACCTCCTCCCATGTACTCCTTAAGTGCAATCGCTTCAGTTCATTCAAACTATAAAAAAAAACATCATGATTTCACTTACCTGTATGAAAAAATGATGGTGGGACAATTTCTCTTAATAAATGCATATTTTTATCTTATGTAAATATTTTGATACAAAATTACTATTTTGTCCTCCTTATGAAAATATTATGTATCAAAAGTGATGGCAAAATAGGAAATAAGGGGATATGATTATCATTTTGTCAAAATCTATAAATTACTATTTTTCCCTCCTCAGCTCAACATTGTGTATTCAAAAGTGAGGGGCAAAATTGAAAAAGTGGGCAAAAAGGTTGACAAGGTGTGTTTTCTTAATAATAAGGATTGTGTATCAAAAGTGAGGGCAAAATAGAAAAAAAAAATATATGATTATCATTTTGTCAAAAGGTATAAAATTACTATTTTGCCCTCATCATCTCAACCTTGTGTATTCAAAAGTGAAGGGCAAAATTGAAAAAAAGTGAGGAAAAAGGTTGAGAAGATGTGTTCTCTTAATAATATGGATAAATACAAGATTCCAGAGCGGGTTAAAGCGCAGATGAGTTAGATTTGTTGTGCCCGTATTCCCTCTATCCATCCTGTTCCCGCATCCTCCCTCTAAGTGTCCTATGAACTAACACCAAATTAACTCTGTTACCAAGAAACTCAATAAAAGAATAAAAAAAAAATAGAAAAAACCTTCCCTTCTTCTGTGAGAGAGAGTAGGGAGGTATATTTTTATTTTTTGTTTTTTATTCTATGTCAAGTTTAACTCTGTTAACTTGGTGTTAGTTCATAGGACACTTGTCAAAAGGAGGAAGCGGGAGGAGGGTGGGCTGAGGAAACTTGGGCACAGCCGATCTGAACTCAGCGCGGATTGGGTTGTTTGTTGCTGACCTTGCTTTTACGGTTTTACCCTCATCAGATCATAAATATAAAACTCCCCTCCCTTTCGGTTTGCGGTGAAACTTCGCATCCTTCTTCCGCTCTCTCTCCTCTCTTTCTCTGCTCCTTTACGCGTTCTTCCGCCCAAACCCTAACCATCTTGCGTACGATCGTATCCAACCGCGGTTTCAGATCTCCATCGCTGCCGATCGGCTAATCGCTCTTATATTTCCCGATTGCGATTCTTCTTAACGTCGTCGTTTTTCAGCTGTAAGGTTTTCATCGTTTCAGTCTCCCAATTTCTGGGCAATCAGATATCCATAGTTGGTTAATTCTTCGGTTTTAGATTCAAATTAGTTTACTTTTTTCCAATGATCTGCTATTATTTATCTTTTTTTGTATTGAATGTGTTTAATTTTAAGAGAAGGAGCCGTAGGAGGATCTCAAATTTATAGGTTATTATTTATGCTTATTCATATCTATGGATCCATAGATAATTTTGGAAGCAGGAGAATTGGGAATTCTGTTTGCTGGATAATAGAAATTGGGTCGTGGATTAATTGAGGAATCAAAATTGAAAATTGTTGAAATTGGAAGCAGGTTGGTTTTAGTGACAAATTAGAGGTTCTTATGCTATTGATTTGTTGTTGATTAGATGAGGTTGAGTTTATATAGGCTTTGTTCGAGTAGAATCGTTGTAATTGCATTACTATAACCTAATTTTTCTTGTGATTTTGTTATAGAAATCTTTCACCAGTGTATATCATAATCTCCTATGCCTTGTTTGGTTTTTGTTATATTTAGTTGTGGAGTTTCTCAGCACTTTTTCTCTGTTGGTTTGTTCCGTTTCTTATTTGTTGTTTTTAACTAGGCAGGAATAATGTCTTTTGTACGTAACAATCGCTCACAAGGGGGCACTGCTGGTGATGAGTACTGGCCGTCTCTCGGTAGAAATGACGTCAAAAGCTTCAACAACTTCAACCACTTCAACCACAACAACAACAACTGGAACAGGAGCAGGACTAATAACTTCGTTAAGAATTATAACAATTATCAGAAGTACAATTATAACAATTACCAGAAGTACGTGGGTGGTTATAAGGAGCATGCTGATAATTCTAATTATATCAAGCCTGACAGTGCATCATCGTTTAAGAGGAGAAAATTTTCAGATTCTACTTGGGGTGATGGTGGGAGAGATTATCTGCCACCCAACACATATGAATTTATCTCTTCTTCGTGCAATAATTATGTTCCTCATCCAAGATCCAATGGTGATGCCTCTGCATCTACTACTGGTAAACGTGACCGCACAAAGTTAGATGAAGATGAACTGCCCTTTATGTCAAGGGATGAGATAGAGAGATGCTCCCCATCTAGAAAAGATGGTATAGATTCAGTACGTGAAGCACACTTGCGCTACTCATACTGTTCTTACCTTCAGAATCTTGGATTGCGGCTTGACTTGTAAGCTTCTTCTCCTTAACCTGTATCTTTGTTATGCTTTCATTTTGAATAGAGTTCTTATCATTTATTTAACAGGGTTTTGTCCAGAACTAGTGTTTATGGTATTTTGAACATTTTGCTAGTTGACTCTAAGTTTCAAGGTTTTCTTTTCTCTTTCCAAGACGTATGTAATTTACAAACTAATCATATCTCTTCCAGGCCCCAGACTACCATCGCTACTGCAATGGTTCTCTGTCATCGGTTTTTCGCCCGGCGGTCACATGCTTGCCATGATAGATTTGTGAGTGTTCAATGTATTTTGAAATTCATAGCATCTTCTGATGTTATTAAGGTTTCCTTTATCTTAGATAAGCATAGATTTTATGTCCTCATATGATCAACATTATAGCAATTCAGATAATCAATCATTCGTTGTGTTCAAAGTGTTTTCCCTTTTTATTTTTCTGAATATAACTCTATGTTTCTGTTCTCCACTCTGTGCTGTTTTTTAATTTCCTACTGGGTAATGGATTATGTACGTTGTTGGTTTACTCTGTCACTCCATTTGGTAATTATATTTTATGACTATTTCATTTCTTTTCCAGTTGATTGCTACTGCCGCTCTGTTCCTAGCAGCAAAGTCCGAGGAGACACCACGCCCTTTGAATACTGTGTTGAGAACATCTTCTGAGATTCTCCATAAGCAGGATATCAGTTTCTTGTCCCATATGCTCCCTATTGTGAGTATCTTTACTGCTCTTCTGAGCCTTTATGATATGATCTGTCCTCTTGAAAGCATTCAGAATGAAGACAATCTTTTTACAGTTTAACTGTCAATATAAAAACCCATTATTGAATGCCATAATGTTTTTTTTGCATTGACATAAAAAAAACCATTGCATAGCCTTTCTTTTTAAATTCAGATGAGTATTCCTGCATTGAATCATATTTCCTATTCACGCTGTTCAGTGTGTCATAAAGAGCATGAAGCAACTTAAACTTTTGAAGATTTTTCTCCATTCCCTGACTTATATTGAAAGCTAAGATTAGAATTGCACTTTCTAGCATTCTGACATTTGTTGTTTGTTAAACAGGACTGGTTTGAGCAGCATCGGGAACGGGTGACTGAGGCTGAGCAAATGATACTGACCACTCTAAATTTTGAACTTGGTGTGCAGCATCCATATGCACCACTTACATCTACTCTTAACAAATTAGGTCTTTCACAAACAATTCTGGTGAATCTGTCCTTAAGCTTGGTCAGTGAAGGGTAAGTTCATCAATTCGAGGTTACAGAATTCTGCTTACTTTTCGTTGAATGATTACTTGATCATTATTCGACATATTTGTGTTGGTTTTTTATATGTAGCTTACCTTGCATGCCTTCCTGAAAATGGTTAGTGGCACTGTGGTTGTTAAAAGGAAGAAGATAGAGAAAAAGAGGGGGGGGGGGGGGGGGGGGGGGGGGGGGGGGGGTGGGGTTATCATCAGAGTTTCAGATTTTACTGATGTTTGGGTATGGCTATGGAAGCGGATAAACAATGGTTTTCTTCCTGTTCCTTAAAACTCTGATGCTTGATGTCTGTCTCAATAATTTCCTTGTTTGGAGCATCTACTTTAGTAGTATTTTGAAATATTAATTATTTTGGCATGCATATAATTGCAGGATCTACACAAGATTAGAGTTGATCGCCTGTATGATATTCTTAGCTGGCGGATTGATTTGCTGTTCATGGAACTTTTGTTTTACTTCTGAAGTTGAACTGCCGATATTTTTTGGATGAATTTACCATAATATGCCCTCACCAACTTAGTCATTTGCTATTGAATATAGCTACTTAGTCTCCATGGCCATTTTCAGTATCTTCTTTTAACTTACTGATGGAGCTTATTAAGAAAAAGTCCTCTGAAGTCCTGCTACCAAACATACAGTTTGTAAGACATGGCTTTTTGTGGGATTGGTTTTGGAGGAAAACCATTGTCTAGGGAAGGATTTCATCTTTGTGATTGGTAGCCCTTCCTGTCCCCAATGCCAATGCCGTTTTATGAACCCTCGAATGACTTCTCCTAAGTCCTGCTAACAACGAGGGGTTGCCAGATATCTAGGGGCTGCTTTAGGTTTAACAGTATGATACTCAGTTTTGAGTATCAGGGCTTGCAGTCTGATTTCAGTTTTGACCAAACTCTTTCTGATGGAAGTTTACACTTTGGCCCAAGAATTTGCAAATTTTCGTAGAACTGTTGCCACTGGTGCATGAGTCTCAGGAGCTTGCGTAGGTTTTTTCCTGACCTAGATGTCTTGAAAGTTTTTGGTGTTGTATTCTTTTTCGATTACAGAATGGAATGGGAGACATTAAAATTTTGTATGGTACCTGCCATTCATCTGTCCTGTCTCCCAAAGGAAAGAAAAAAGAGATATTTTTAATGCAACACTGTGAAATGAACATGAGAGAAATTGGCAAAATGTGCTGACAGTTTTCCCCATTAATCGGCTTTGAGATGCAACTTGTTTTCCCATGATGGGGAAATAGGAGGCCAGGAATATAAAAAAAATTTGAAAGTCATCTGAATTCCCATATCTTTTTGCATGATTTTCATATCATATCTATTTGGTTCATATGTTTCTCAGGTAATGATCTCCGGATCTAGAACCTGCCCAAATATTTATGTCAAAACCTTGACCGTGAACTATTTGGTTCCATGTACTTGGTATCAGATAATGTCAATTTCCTAGCCCCAACTCCCGTGTAAGTGGTTTTTTATAGTTTTGAATAAATTTGAGGTCACTTCACAGATGGGATGCATTATTTTTGCTTTGAAAATGTTATCATATCTTCTTGAGTTTTCTCATATTTAAACGTTATCTTAACATTTGTTTAAGTGATGGATATTGTTATAGTTGTGTTTTAAAACAGAAAAAAAGTTTTCTTGAAACACTATATCCTCCTGTTAGACAACTTATTGTTTTACACAGAAGTACACAGTGGAATATATATACTTATGTACATTTTTTAAAGTTCTGCATTCTTTTGTTGAAGATTACTTTTGAAAATGATTTACGTGTTCTCATTAGTGGCGTATATCGTCAGAAAAAAATGAAAAGAAACATTTTTTTTAGTTCCACATTCTTTTGTCGAAGATTACTTTTGAAAATGATTTACGTGTTCTCATTAGTGGCATATATCGTCAGAAAAAAATGAAAAGAAACATTTTTTAAAGTTCCACATTCTTTTGTCGAAGATTACTTTTGAAAATGATTTACGTGTTCTCATTAGTGGCATATATCGTCAGAAAAAAATGAAAAGAAAAATAATTTATTTGTGAAGATAGAGGCATATACTTTTTGTGTCCTTCTTGGTTGCATCCAGGGAGTTGATGGCATCCATCCTTGTAGTTTCCAGAAGAATCGATGGCATCCATCCTGGTAGTCACCTGAAAATTCCTACCATTTTAGAATCTGGGTTGTTCTAGGGGGCATTCACCATTTTTCGTATTCCAAGAAGTTCTCATCAAGTCTTGCTTCTGTGAGTGTTCTTTATATGTTTATAGAGGAGCTGATGATATAAGAAAAGGATACATATATATATATATATATATACACACACACTATCTTGAACAGACTATGGATGGCAATTCAGCTTCATCCCATGCCTGCAACATGGGTGTAGTCAATGATTCTCGCCGGGAACTTAGTAGTTGGGTATTATGCATGTAAGATCCAGCCATTGTGCAGAAGCTTGTGGATTTGTTTTCAGAAGTTGTTATTGTTTGCAATGTCCTGCTTTTGCTTTCTCATATGAACCGTGTATACGAGTAAAATAGCCGTGCAGCAGATTGGGGCCTGGGAATTTTGGTGACCCTAGATGGGGTATATCATGTTTTGCTATAGTTTTGGTACTCTTATCAGCCATCCTGCAGACATTCTGGAAAATATTCTACCTGACTTGCTGCTTTTGTAGTTGGTAAGAAATTGACTTGTTATTTCATGCCTGATTTGATGACGTTTTGCTACTAATTTTTTTTTTATGCTACATGCTTCTGGTGTACGTTCTATCAATGTGAAAAATATGCTAAGTTGCACCGGGAATTGCCTGGTCTTTCTACTGTTGCCCCAGATGGTTTGGTTTGATTATGTGCCTTTCTGCCTCTCCGAGCCCATGGTGGTGGCTCTGTTGGTGTTTTGTCTCATAACTCGCTGGAACTAATTTGGTTTCTCATTTTATTTTTCAGGCTTCGGAGTTCTCTGTGGCTGCAGTTCAAACCGCATCATATTGCGGCAGGAGCTGCCTACCTTGCCGCAAAGTTTCTGAATTTGGATCTTGATTCTTATAAAAATATATGGCAAGAATTCCAAGCTACACCAGATATTCTTCAAGGTATGCATACATGCGCACAGCTGAGGCCTAGCGAGCCGCTTTTTCATTTACATATAGACTTTAATTTGTGTTAATTGTTGATGCAGCTGTTGCTCAGCAGTTGACGGAACTCTTCTAGAAGGATGGAGCATGGTTGTTACACTAGTTTGTGTATAAAATTAGGATATGCATATCATGGTCGGATGGGAAAGCATATACATGACTTTTGCAGAGGTATGGTGTGAGGAGACGACGAGAGACGCCAAGATATGATACCCATCTTTTCTCACAACTGCTCTCCTCTTGAACCTATTGAAGGCTTAAAAAGTGTAGTTTTTAAGGTTTTGTAACATCTACCAGTAGTACGCTTTTCGGAGTGGTAACCTACATATAATGACAAATTCGCTGCAACGTTTTTTATTTCTTGTGCTTCATGTTCGTATTTTATCTTTGTCAATTGTCGAACGAGGTTTTAGACAACATATTGATATCTGGGTAGTAGAAAGATCAAAGTAGTGGGAATGCAATAGACAGTGCTGCATTTGGTACTGTTTTTATTTACCTAAGTTAAAGTGAAACTTGATTATTTTTTCACATTGGCTATTCTATTAGCTAACGCTGACGCGTGACAAGAACGACTCTGAACTCGGGTAGGGACTCCAAATCCGTTATCCTCTCATAAGGGAGAGATACTCTCTCGTCACGAATTCATCACGTGGTAATTGTCTATTATGAGAGGCTGCTGGATTTGGCAGTGCCATTTTACCCACTGCATGTGGTGGAAACGTGAATGTTGTAGGTTAGACGATAGTAGGATGGTGCCTTCAAGCACTCTCCATATTGAGGAGTTGGAGATTATGATTTTTCTTGTTGGAGGCGATTATGTTATTGGAAGCCTAAAAGAAGCAATCCTCAATCCATAGCCCATTAGAGAGATGCTAGGAGACGTGCTCAAAAGTGGGATTCATCATGAATTCTCTATTATCTTATGTTTTTTGTACAGTGTTTTCTAATCTTGCATTGAAATTAACGTTAATTTTGAAGTGGTAGAGAATTTATGAAGAGTTCTACCTTGAAACAATCCCATTAGCATTTCTCTAGCTCATTATTCCTGCACGCTCATTCTTTTTTCAACAAAGAAAACATTAACAACATTGAAAATTTTGCTCGTACCAAACTGACTAAAGTAGGGTCATATCTCATTTTGCAACTGGATTTGTTGAAAATTTTATTATGCTCCAACGTATGACATGCACTGAATAAAGAAAACATTAAATGTGCAACGAAGAATCCAACAATACTATACACTGATGCATACTAGAAAGTTGTCAAAGGTATATCACTTTGTATAGGTCTTCAAAACAAATGCTACAAAAGAATTCATGTAGTATAGTTGAAGCATTCAACAACATTGAAAACAAAGAATGAGGATCCTCTCCGAATTCTCTTTGTGAGGATCCCGGGGATACTCAAATTGTGTTCGTTCATTGTACATTGTGCAGTAAGAAATCATTTTAAATACTTTTATTTAAAATTAAGGGTTAATCTCAGTATACTACCCTCAAGTTTCGTGGTTTTCAACATTTAGTATATGAAGTTTTTTTCGCCCTAGAGTCATACCTAAAGTGTTAATTTTGGAACAATTTCATACATATGTTAAGTTTTCTGTTAGAACTTCTATTAATTGATGACGTGTTGCCCACGTGGACAATTACTGGACATCACATGTCAATATGGGCCCACTTCAATATTAAAAAATTAAAAAAAATACAAGACAAAAAAATAAAATAAAATAAAATCCGTACCCACCTTCTCCCTCCCTTCTCTCTTCTACAACCTTCACCCCTTCCCTCCCTTCTCTCTTCTGCACCTGCAACACCCTCCTTTCTCTCCTCTGCAACTTGCACCACCCACCCTCCCTCATCTCCTATACAAACCACACCCACCTCTCATTTGCGAGGAAGGTGGGTATGGGTGCTACCGCATCGGGGTACGCCTTCGCACCCAAAAAAGAGCAGACCTTCATCCAGCCCTCTCTCTTCCACCATGCCTCCCTATACGACATCGACTTCGTCCCCATTTCAATCCCTGATTCCACCACCACCGCCAAGACCCTAATCGAGCAACGCCCTTTTGATTGCATCATCCACAAAATCTATGGCCCCCACTGGAACCAACACCTCAAGGAATACTCGTCCTAGTATCCATAAACGCTCATTATTGACCCCCATAGTCCATCGAGCGCCTCCACAATTGGGTCTCCATGCTCAACGTTTTCGCTGCCCTTGAATTGAAGCCGCGTTAGTCAGGCGACAAGTTCTAATCGAAGATCTCGGTGCCCAAACACGTGCTGGTTGATCATTACCCGGAAGGCAAAGAAGAAACTAAGTTGTTGGTCGGGTTGTAGATGAGAGAAGGGAGGGCGGTGCAGGTGTAGAAGAGAAAATGGAAGGAAGGGGTGCGGGTTGCAAAAGAAAGAAGGGATGGAGAGGGTGCGGGGGAGAAGGTGGGTACAGATATTTTTTTAATTTTTGTATTTTTTTAATTTTTTAATATTGAAGTGGGCCCATATTGACACGTGTTGTCTAGTAATTGTCCACGTGGGCGCCACATCATCAGTTAACAGAAGTTTTAACGAAAAACTTAACAGATGTATGAGACTATTCCAAAATGAACACTTTATGTATGTCTCTGGGACAGAAAAAACTTCATATACTAAATGTTGAAAACCACAAAACTTGAGAGTAGTAAATTGAGATTAACCCTAAAATTAAATATGAATATTAATTAATGAAAATTGATCGCACGATATACAATGAATTAACACGATTTGAGGCCTTAAGATCCTCATAAAGAGGGTCAGAAGAGGATCCTCATCCGAAAACAAATCTGCACTTTAGTTAAATTAATATTCAAGGAGGAACCCATCTTCAGACTTACTTGAGTCTCCAAATTTGAGGTCCAAATATTTGACCACTACCACGAAAGCCATCCGCCAACGTAGAAGGCAATAAAAACCAGAGCAGACGACGGCCGGCACAGAAAAAGCCATTAGATTTCAAATTCAACATATTTTGTTTTCCATGCCAAAATTAAGCAAATAATAATAATATTATTACACATATTTATTATTTATCTTTCTCTTTGCATAATCTGATTTCTGTCCGCATCCGTGTCATTGTCACCTACCTCCATCTCTTCCTGATCGCGATCGTGGAACGCGTGCCCTTATAACATTCAATCCCGGATCACGTTCCTGAGAAACAAACAGAAAGTTAAGAGCTCACGAAACCCTGACCTCACTGGATAATATCACAACGAACAACGAAAACATTAACGACTCACGACGCCAAATTACCAATCGCGCTTCTCCTCTTCCTCTCTGCTGTTTGGAAACCAAGACCAACGTCCCAACGCTCCTTCCGATGGATTCAGCGCCAGCTCAGCGTCGCCTTAGAGCAATCAATGGCCACCTCGCCTCCGCCTCCGCCGCCGACTCCGAGTCCCTTCTCCGTCTCAACCCCACCGCCGGCGAGTTTTTTTCCGGTGCTCCCTCTGTCTCTCTCTGTTTGATTTTTTCCAGCTCAATTTTGGTTTTGGTTTTGAATTATGATCGGATAGTATGCACGCGAAGCTCAAAGCTTTTTTGTGAAGGAAGTTATTTCAAAGGAGAAAAAGCTAGGGCTTATTTAAGGTGGCATTAATGCCCCTAGGTTTTGTGGTGTCTTAATTGTGAGATACTTTCGAGCTTCCGAGAGCTCGATACATTTATGATTCATTGCTTTTTTTCGATTTTTTTATCTTCCGTTTTGACTTCGGTTGAGGATCGTTCGATTTTTAATTGTTTTCCATTGGTGGGTGCTGCTTCCTTTGATTTCATACGCTGCTTTTTCTGATGTGGAAAGCACTTCCGATTCATTTGATTTGAGAACCCGTGGGACAGATAATGTTGCGTTTCGATTTCTAAGAGATTTGGATTTGCTTACTTATTTGTTTTTGTTTTGATAAAGGACTTACTTTTAGTTAATGGCCTTCTTTGATGGACACTTACGTTTTTCTTTTTTGCGGAATTTGTTCCTGATGGTGCTTTGGGTTGTTTTCCGTTAGCAAATAAAATCAGATCTTTTGTGGGGATTTTGGTCAATGGGGACACAAGAGACCATTTTGAGTGGACTTTTGATTCGGGGGAGCTATGGCAACGCTTTATGGGAACTATGCATATGTAGCGGGGTATAAAAACCAATGAATCAATTAATATCGTTGATGGAAAGACCGTTGTATGACAATTAGGAAAATATACTTGGGAGTTCATCGTTTTGTCCTTCCATTGGTCTGAATTCTGTGAAACTTTACTTTCTATCTCCCACGGCCAAGCACATATAAGCATTTGACAATTATCTTTGCTCTCTCTCTCCCTCTCTCTAATGGGAAATATGGACTGATCTAGCTGATGAAGAGTACTTGAAGTTTTTGGATATAAATTTATATAAAAACTCGGATCAGTAGAATGAAGTGGACTACGATGACAAAGAAGGTGGACTACATGAAAAAAGAAGAACTATAGTATTTACAGGGCTAATCCTTTCTGCAATTGGTTTCATTGTTCTCTCTTCAATTGATTAAAATATTGTCTGCTTTTTGTCTGTCGTTGGTTTGTTTTGGTTTTGTTTTGTTTTGTATCTCTCTTTTCCTTCGTTTGGTTCTCTTGTTTAGTTTCTTTTGCATTATGTGTTTCATAATGAAAACTTTGGCCGTCTACATTAACATGTTGTATGGGATATGTCACTGCGTGAATCCTGCTTTGTGGGATATTGTGAAAGTGATAGTGGATGAGTCTGTTGCTCAAAAGATAAACTTCTGGGGGAATCGAGGGCTTTCAAGTGGGATATGAAATGGAAGTCAGATTCTTTGAAAGGTTTGGTTTCTTTGTTTTGCGGTGGACAGGGGACTAGAGAATAAGCGGGAACAGGTTGGTAAAGGTGGTTAGCAACCTGTTCTAGATACGTGTCTAGGATGTTTAACTTATTGACTCAAATACATATATTAATATCATTAAATTCGTGACAGAGCATGGGTACAGTGTGGTGCTTCCAGAGAAATTAGACACAGGAAAGTGGAATGTATACAGGTGGGCATATTCCTTTTTTTTTCGTTTGTGCTGCCCCAACAAGGTCCATGGCTATTCTCTCTATTCATGTGAGAAAAATATTTTTGTTTTGTTGTGGTGACAGATCTGCACACTCCCCATTGAAGCTTGTTAGTAGATTCCCTGATCATCCTGAAATTGGTACACTGCATGATAATTTTGTGTGAGTCACTTACTTTTCGCCAAACTACACAAGGACATTTAAGCTCAATAATTCCCTACAAATATCTGTCCTAAATTTATATTTCTATCCACTTGTATTTAGTTCCCTTGGAATTTGCTAAAAGACTTCATCTAACTTTTGTCAATATTAGGCACTCTGTTGAAACTTTCCGAGATTATAAATATTTGGGCACACGAATTCGCGTTGATGGAACAGTTGGAGAGTGAGTGTCTTTTTATGTAATTTAAATTCTCAGTTCCTCTGAATTACAATTATTTGGCTCACATCCAGTGGAAGCCTCATCCAGTTTCATTTGTTTTTCTGCCTTCAAGTTACAAATGGATGACGTACGGAGAAGCAGGTACTGCTCGGTCAGGAATAGGTTCTGGCCTAATTTATCATGGAATACCAAAGGTGTAATTTCACTAATTGTTCTATGGTTCCTATACTGTCGTTTATTGGTCATTGAACTTCATCTCTGTAATTAGTTCCTTGAAAATACTGAGTGGATTTCCCTGATGTTACTTGACATCAAATCCTCTTTGAACTTTTATTTCTATAACTACAGGGATCTTCCATTGGATTGTATTTTATCAATAGACCTGAGTGGCTCATCGTTGATCATGCCTGCTCTGCATATTCGTACATATCAGTTCCTTTATATGACACTCTAGGTTTGTGCTACTTTTCCCGTATTTTGCCAATCTTGGTCTACGCGTCAGATGTTATAATTGAATATGGTATTCTTTGCAGGTCCAGATGCTGTCAAGTACATTGTAAATCATGCTGTTGTACAAGTTATCTTTTGTGTGCCTCAAACATTGAATAGTGTGAGTTTAACTTATATCACTTCAGGGTGCTCTATAACTTAACAATATTCTCTTGAGTTGTAAAAACTTAATCTTGTAAATTTCTTTCTTCCTGGGTTTTATATATGTTAGGTATTAAATGACAACTAAAAATTTGTTTTATATTCTTGGAGATGCGCATATGATCAGCTATAACCCATACATATTTGGGTAAATGCTATCGCAAAATGTTTTGAGCAAGTGTTCATCAGGTTGAATTGTTGTATGGAATATAGACCTGATGCTAATTTAGATATCAAATTATTAAAATAAAGACGAAGAAAACGTGGTCTACATGCAGAAAAAACTCAAACATAAAAATAAAAAAAGTGAAGATCCCTTAACAGTAACAACATCCACCTAACTGGGAAACTGTTTCTTCTGAACTATGTGGTGTCGAGTTCTTTCACCTTGACATTGGACTCATGTTTGGCCACAATTACTGTCAAAGTTATATCCCTTAAGGCGCTTTTTTTCCTTGCAGTGTATATAATCTATATAACTTGTAGACTGAAATTGTTCATGTTTGGTTATTCCATATTGTTATATTACACGGCTCTGAATTCCTCAATTGATTCTTGTCATTTGGAATTGCAGTTGTTGAGCTTCTTGGCGGATATTCCAACTGTACGCCTGATTGTGGTATGAGAATATACCTCATAGTATTAAATAAATCTTTGTACTACTGAAAGGTGATTGTGATGTTGACTTTGCACAGTTTATATATCATTTAAAATAATGTTTTCGTTTCCCTTCAATATTATGCAGGTTGTTGGGGGAGTGGATGATCAAATTCCATCCCTTCCATCATCGACCGGAGTGAAGGTTGTAACATATTCAAAATTGCTATCTCAGGTAATTCCATTCTTCCCTATGAATCCACTGAATCCTTGAAAGGTCATAGGAGATCTGCCAAAGATCTTCTTATGGATGCATAAATGATAGACATCCACGTATTATATGATAAGTTTTTATGTGTAAAATATTAGCATAAAGATAATGCTTTGAGCAATGCTAAAAGAAACTCACAAGCATAAACACTCCAGAAATACCCATTTCATCATAGCTGCATATTGGATATTTTCTCTGTCCTAGACCACTCCTTGTCTTCTTCTTGCAGATTTTAATGCATAGTCTGTTCACACACATAATGAACATGAGGTGTTTTCTGCTAACGTTGCTACTTGGATATTATGATTCTTATCATACTTAGAGTCCTTAGTATGTGATGATATATTTTTAAAAACTGTGAGTGATGTGCTTCTTATCCATTGTGTTTTTTTAGGGCTCTAGTAGTATTCAGCCTTTTTGCCCACCAAAACCAGAGGATGTTGCTACAATATGCTACACAAGTGGTACAACTGGCACCCCAAAGGTACCAACTTAAAGCGTTATGAACTTTCATATTTTTCAACCAAAATATATGTAACAACTTTTAGCTTTCTGATGAAGTTGGGTTTCCACAATAAATGGTTCAACTTTTATTTTTGCATATATTATTTTGAGTTCTCCTTTTAGAACTGTTAAGATAGTGTGTGAGAAACAAAAATTCAAGGGCTGGCTTCTCCTCCAATACAATTATGTTAAATACTCTCCGTATCTTCTTTGTAACCCCATGTATTGTAACACTTGCACTATAACTGACAATAACATTTGGTTAGGGAGCTGTATTGACTCATGGAAACTTTATTGCAAATGTTGCTGGGTCCACTATTGCTGTCAAATTCTACCCGTCTGACGTGTGAGTATCAGTAGTTTTGATTTTCAATTCCACACACACTGCTTTGTCTCTGACTATTTTACCTTGTATTTTCCAGCTACATATCATATCTTCCCTTGGCACACATTTATGAACGGGTTAACCAGGTCATGACAGCATATTTTGGAGTTGCTGTTGGATTCTACCAAGGGGTATGAAACTTGTTTTCACCATTTCCTTTTCAATAGTTCTTGCCATATCTTGAATCTGTAGTATTGTCCCCCCACCGAAACAAAAACCTGTCGATTTGTTAAAAAGGTTTACTTCTTTGTAAATGCTTTTTTTGCATCTTTTTTCTTGGAATGCAATATACACTGCGCCAGAATCAATCTACCTGGTCAAAATTAGTCTGCAGTTTACTGAAGGGTAGATTCATGTTGACGTATTAAACTGTTCTCAATTATACTGGTTTCAAGCATGTAAGAGTAAGACTTTACTAGAAGTGATGAATCTCCTAATGTAAACTGATGCATTTTTAATGTTGATTCATAAACATTAACATTGGTCTAAGGCTCTAAGCCTATTGGAATTTATTAATAACTTTAAAACTGCTGACCTTTGCCTATATGTTGTAATATATGTTATAGTCGTTAGACTAGCTGGTTTATTTATAAGTTTATATCTTTGTTTTTGGGTTTAACTACATATGTTTAGAGACAAGCCTTACAGGGTTTATTTAACTGTTCTATGCAGGATAATCTAAAATTAATGGACGATATGGCAGCACTAAGACCTACCATCTTCTGCAGTGTTCCTAGGCTGTATAACAGAATATATGCGGGGTAAATTTTTTTTAATTGCTTATGTGATTGTTCACCTAAAAGAAACTAATATCCTTA